AAAAAAAAAAAAGGCACATATTTTTAAAACTTCTACAAATCACAAAGAAAGATAAACTAGGCAATATGGGGGAGATGCACAAAAATATGTGAAATAGGAATGTAGATAAAGAAAACTCACTGGTCAATAAACTTATACTGAAAATTAACATGATGTCAAAGATATAACCTTCCAGGATAACTTTATGCACTTGCCTAAACTGAGAAGGGAAAGTGTATGATTCACTGCTATACATAGTTTGTCATTCAGGTAGGTCTTAAAAAACGTTTCGTTTCAGCACTCCTCAGAGCTCCAATTATAGACATATTTTACCAAGGACGATTCATGAGAATATTCCCATTACACCTTCCTTTTTAGTCTGATACCCTTTTGTCTGATCACTATACTTCTTTTACTTCCAGGTATTAACTTAAGACAAGAAAATCAAGGAATCACTTTGTTGTTTAGTTGGTTTTAATTGCTTTTACATTACCACACTTTAGGATCATCTACGGCCAACAGAAAGTAACAGAAGGCATTCTTTTAATCAAATACAAGGTGGTTCATATAAGATAGTACCAACAAAACAACATTCACTTTACTTTTCCAAGCCTTTGCCCCAGTAGGAGTATTTTTAAGTAGTTAACATAAAAAGCGAAAGAACAATTCATTTTGAGTATAATCAGCAATAACCCGACAAACAAACAAATAAGCATGCAAATGTGGACTAACCTTCCAGTAGTCAGATTGTAAACTGTAGTACCTCTGGTATGCAGATAATGCTGAAAGAGGACAAATAATCATGAGTCACAATGTCACATTTCAAAATCCATATATAACAAACTTACCACCATACCTACTTCCCACCAGAAAGTAGTATTTCAAAAAACCAAACGATATGAAAATCTTGGGCCTCCCTACTAAGAATTAACCATAGCATCAAATGTCAAATATGTAAGAATATAGCAATGTATAACAATAGTCAAATCTGAGACCTGTACCTGAACAAATATAAAATCGAGTCTACCCCTGGGATCAACTCGACATTCCTCAGAGGCCAAAACTGATGTAGGATTAAGATTCTTCTTAGGCTATTACAGAATATGATGCATTGTATGTTATCACGGGTGACCTCACTTCCTAGAATGACTGAGAACTCACCCATCTCAAAGAGAAAAGGAACTATTTCTTTCGTGATATTTCCTTTCATACCACCACCAACAACGTAAGACAAAACTCCACCTCACTATTACCTTACTATTAGGCTACATTCAATTCAATTCCAATATAAGGTACATCTATGCCACACCCCTAAATCCATCTCAAGGCATAAAAGGATCTGGAAACAATTAAAATAGTTCCTGTCAATCTAAATATTCAGATGAGATGGGAGTAAGGGGATCAATTGAAAGCTATATATACACATTAGAACTGGTGGAGAAATGTTTTAAAAAAAATCATAAGCAAACCCCAATCCAGATCAATTAAGTAACAATCTCTTAAGGTATGGGCTAAGCACTTACATGTTTAAAGTAGTTAGCATAAAAAGGATGCCAAGATGATCCCAAAAGTATACCTAGGACTGAGCACCACCCTAAAGACAAAGGCAGTAAAAAATGGGAACAAGAACAAGGCAACAAAATGAGAGCAACCTGTACACTTTGTAATATGCTGGGGTATTTTTAAGACTTGAGGCAATTTTATGAACTTCACACATTTGAAAAACAGAAACAAATTGCAAACATTACTTGAAATGCTTTTATAAAATTAAGAGGCAAAAGACAGTTAAGATAACAACAAATGGAAAGTAATGAAAAAAAATGTTTTTGTTCTATCAGATACTGAAATTACTATAAAGTTAGAACTGGAATAGAAAAAAAAACTGAAAACCCAAAATGAGACCCTGCTATATATTTCAAATCAATGTGAAATTAATATACTAACCAACACTTAAGTACTTCTATGAAAGCAAAGAACTGAAATTTCTAATTCACATCATGTACTAAAAACAACTCAAAAAACATATTAAAGAGTTAGATATAAAAGTCCATAAAACTACTACATGAAAATATAGAGGAACAAATATTTTTTCATTATTAGTTAGAGAGGCCTTTTTAAACTTCTGGTTCAATGTGCAGGGGCTAAAATAAAGTATTAGGGTAAAAACTATTTGAGAAGCAGTTACTCGGCAAATTCCTTCACTCACTCACTGATGCTACTGTCATAAACACAGACACCAATACATACTACTTGGCAAACTCTTCATTAGGCAATGTGACTAAATACACACAGACTCACAGGTTCTCCTACAAAATATCATGCAGATCAAATTTAAAGAACCCTATCCACATGCTGAGAACCTCCAACCAACCAATTGTCAGTTCTCCTATCTTAAATATGAACAGCTAAAAATTACCAGATAACTAAAAGAAACCTAGAAACTTAATAAACAGGTAAAAAGCAACCTAAAGGGGGTGGGGCACACACAGGGCAAAACAATATATACTTCAAGAAATAATTATAATTTTTAGTTACTTAATCCATGTTATTTTTTTGCAAGTCAAAAGCAGCATAAAAGTTCTTCAGTGAAAGACTAAGGCATAATTCAAGAATGAAAAATCCAAAGTCATATAATTATGACCTATGAAATTAGGTAAAGTTATAGAGAAATATGTACATTAAAGAAATAGGAAGGATGAAGATAAAGGCTTAGAAGGCGAGAAAGATTTTCAGCATGCTTAAAAATATTATAGTTCTGAGTCAAGATAGTCAAAATAAGAGGAAGAGGATATATATATACATGCTGTCAAGTTCACGCCACCAACACAGGGATGAAAACAAACTATGTAGGTAAAAGATAGTAAATTTGCTTCTCTCTCTCTCTCCACCCCCATCCCCCACCAGCCCCTTTCCCTCTGTCTCCTGGGTCTAGGAGGTTCTCAGTGCAGGGACTCCAGATCCAATGGACATCTCTACCCCAGTCTCTTCTTTTTGGTGGTAGTTAAGTTCCCTTTCTGCTCTGGGATTGGCTCTCTTTTAAGCACATTGTTGTTCTTGTTGTTATGTGCCGTCGAGTCGGACCCAACTCATAACGACCCCTCCTTGGGCTGATGAGGCAGTATCACTATGGAAGTAGATTGCCCAACCTTCCTTCCGAGGAGCGGCTGGTGGATCTTTTAAGCATAGCAAGATGGCAAAACTTATCAGCCCTTGTTGGGTTGTTACACATTATTTGCATGGTCTCACTCCCACAGGAGTTACATGCACCTTATATGCATTATTACCAAGCTGTCAAATCCCCTTGGTGGGCCGCAAACATTTTATTTGCTTAGTCCCACCAAATCATTTTGAAGGCATCACAAGATCATGGTAAGAAAGGTCATATAAAAACAATTGATCACATCACAGTCAGTATTCAGATTCATTTTTATTTCAACAAAAAGTAATCGTTGTTGTTGTTGTTGTTAAGTGCCATCGAGTCGTTTCTGACTCATAGCGACCGCATGCACAGCAGAACGAAACACTGCCCGATCCGCGCCAGCCCCACAATCCCTGCTATACTTGAGCCATCATCGCAGCCACCGTGTCAATCGAT